CTGCCAAGCTGCTTTCCAGCTGGGTGGCCCCCAGCATCTACTGGTGTGTGGGGTTGTTCCTCACCAGGTGCGGGACTTTGCACTTCTCCTTGCTGAACTTCATGAGGTTTCTGTCAGCCCATTTCTCTAGCCTGTCAAGCTCACGCTGGATGGCAGCATGCCCCTCTGGCCTATCAGCCACTCCTCCCAACTTTGTGTCATTGGCAAACTCGCTGAGGGTACGCTCTGCCCCACTGTGCAGATCACTAACAAAGATGTTAAACAGGACTGGACCCAGTATGTGGTCCTCCTCCTCCTCCTCTCCCCCCAGGGTACACTGCTAGTTACCAGCCTCCAACTAGACTTTGCGCCGCTCGTCACCACCCTTAGGGCCCGGCCATTCAGCCAGTTTTCAATCCACCTCGCTGTCTGCTCATCCAGCCCCTACAGCAACAGCTTGAGGGGCTATGAGGCTCTTATGAGAGACACTGTCAGAGACCTTACTGAAGGCCTGGCAGACACTAGCCACTGCTCTCCCCTCATCTACCAGGCACATCTGTTCATCGTAGAAGTTTATCAAGTCAGTCAAGCATGACTTCCCCTTCATGAAGCCATACTGACTACTCCTGAGGAGTTTCTTGTCCTTCATGTACCTGGAAGAGGGTTCCAGGATGAGCTGTTCCATCACTTTCCCAGGGATCGAGGTGAGGCTGACCAGCCTGTAGCTCTGTGTGTTCTCCATGCCCGTCTTGAAGATAGGAGTGACAGCATGTGTGGAGGCCGTGCTCTGACTTTCTTTTCCTTCAAAATGGTGCTGTGTATGGTGTAAAAGGGAACATGTCCCTTGCACTGTAAAGTTAACCTCCTCTTCTACTCAATTCTTCTTGCATACCTTCTCTTTTTATTTCTGGAAGTCTCAGAGGCTTTATTTTCTCCCTTGTAAGAGTCATGTTTCATCTTGCAACCCACAGGTATTTATGTTGTCTTGGGCATGTTTCTGTACCTGGTAAGTGTTATCAGTGTTGTTCATTCAGGCCTGTGTCCAACCTGACCAAGTCAACTCCCCCTTTTTATGTAGCCAAAGATTGGATTAATACATTTGATATGGCATTATGCAAGAAGACTGTTTTTAATTGTTGTTCTGCCATGATCCCCAAGTCCTCCTTATGCTTGAGTCTGTGTTCAGTTGTTTGTTTATCATGACTCCTAAATCCTCTCTCACTAAAGTTGTGGCTTATTTTCTTTGTTTCTAGATGTAGAGCTTTACTTACTTGTATTAGAAGTATTTTGCATGCCAGTCTATCAAGCATTCAGGTAGCTCTGCCTATATCAATACTATGTCTTTCATACTGATTGCTGTTACTTATGCTGACACATTTCACTTTGACTTTTTTATTTTTTGCACTGTGCCTTTGGAGACACCAACTTCAGTTTAACTGAATAAATGAGTAATAAAAAGGATTTTGATACTTACAGGTTTTAGCATTAATATGGTTCATCTGTATCTATCATTGTATGACTTTGCTTGCCTCATGAACATCTGTTCCCCTAGACTCATCAATATGTACTCATGTAGCACAGCAGAGTTGTCATTGTTGATACATGTAATTAGACAAGACAGGGAACATTTATATCATCTAGCTCTGTCTGCATACGGACAGAAATTCTGATGGTTTTCTGAGTGTGGAACCATCACCGCTTTTTTAAAGCAAGCGTTACTAGTCATCATAAACAGGTACAGAATCTGTAGAGTTTTCTTCATTCAAATGCTTGTCTATATGCTAAAAGTTTTGTAATACGTTGGAGGTTTATTACTGTTCATTGCTAAGTAAAGATTATATCCTGACAGCATGTGATTACCCTGAAGACTTATGGAAATGATTGACCACAGTTTCTGGTCCAGTTACTATTCATAACTTAGCTATTTTACAATCTAAGAGGAGACAGATATTAACCCCCTATTTACAGGGTAGCTACAATGTACCTCTGATGTATAGCTTGCTCTGTTACATGTGGTCTTCTTTACATTAATTTAGGTAACTGACCTTTTGTAAATCCACATTGACTACTCCCAGGGACCTTCTCCTTCATGTACCTAAAAATGGCTTCTAAAAGGACTTGCTCTATGATTTTTTTTTTTTTCTTCCCCAGGCCTTGAAGTGTAGCTGATCAACCCGTAGTTCTTGGGTTGTTTTGCTTTTTTTTTTTTTTTTTTGAACATAGTTGCAACAATTACCTTTCTCTAGTCATTGGGTTCCTACCCCATTCTCTACAATCTTTCAGAGATGACAGAGAGTGGGACATCGTTCTGGTCTTTCAGTGCCCTTAAATGTACTACCTGCAGTCCCAGGAATTTGTATAGGTTGGGATTTCTCTAGAAATCCCTGACTCAAACTTACTGTACTACTGGTAGTTTGTCTTCCCCTTGAACCCTGTCTGTAGACCCAAAGACCTAGAAGACTTTGTTGGTGACAACCAAGGCAAAAGCTGAAGCAGTGTCTTGAGGCCCTGAAGCAAACTGAAGCACTGAGTGTCTCATCCCCGTCTGCATTTGCTGTTACAAAGTCACCCAACCCATTAGGACAGGGCTCATAGGGCCGTGCTTTTTTGTTTGTTCTTCTACTGTTTATCTAGCAATCAGTGTCGAATCAAGCATTATCAGTCTTTGTTAACTGAAATTAAAACTACAATTTTGTTTTTATTTAATAAAAAGTCTATTAATGCCATTACATGGCAGATTTTGCAGATAAATAGCTTCTTTGGTAGAGGGAAGTGATAAATAAATCTGACACCTTAGTAGCTATCTGCAATATGTGCATTGCAAAGCCAGTCTGAAAAATAAAATTAGATCACATTCAAAATAGGCAGATCATTCTGAAGAATAAAAATTCAGAAAAAATCATTTTATACTGCTTCTTTGGGATGTGAGTAGAATGGATACATTCAGGATTTGTATTTCAAACTTGAGACGTGTGTGTGTATACTTTGAGGTGATGGAAACAATAGAGAATACGTAATTTTATTTTTGGGAAATAAATGGACATTTTTAGATGAGTGTTCTGTCAATACTGAGGTATTAGCAATTTGTGGTACTAATTTTGTCATAGTGGCAAAATTTTAGAGGTAGAAGCACTTTCTTCTTTTCTTTTTTTCTTCCTCCTGGCCTCCCTGAAGGAAAACTTTACCTTTTTTTTTCTTTTTTTTTTTTTTAAACCTTTTCTCCTGAATTCAGGGCAAGCATACAAAGAAGAGCCATTGTTACCCACCAATGAACAGAGATCACCGCAGAATCATCCATGAATTAGCTCAGGTTTATGGCATTGAAAGTGTGAGCTATGACAACGAACCAAAGCGTAATGTTGTCATCACTGCAGTGAAGTACGTAATTCATTATTGTTTTCAAATCTATTAACTACAGTTTAAATAATTGGATGTTTTTATCACTTACTCGAATGAGTTTATTTACAGTGCAATTTGCAACATGCAGTAAATTCCAGTATAAATTTTTTTTAAAGCTGTTTTTAAATTCATAATTTCATAGGCTTCTATTTCCACTAGTCAAGTAAATCTTCAGAGAAGAAAACCCAATTAGAAATAAAAAAGCTAAGAAAATATTTTGCAAGGCTGTTTTCTGTTCATCTTAGCAGTAACTTTTTGTCTTTTTGCCATCAGCTACATTTGATAGAGGTATGAAAGATAACAAATGTCGTAAAATTTTATGAAAATTAATTGCTGGGTTGAGAAGTTGTACCTAAATTTGCACCTTCTTTGAAAAAATCTGGTATTGGAACTTATTTGTTCTCCACCTATCTGAAACTGCCACAGAGTATACTCCCTCTTTAGTTAATGGACAAAGAGGGAGCTGGAATTACAACAAATTGAAGAAACTTGTAAGCAAAACTGGAAATATTTGGAGAAGACCCACAGATGACAGTTCATACTAGAGAAGGAAATGAAGGGAGTATAGCTGGGGGAGAAGCAAGGTGATTGCACTGGAGACATAGTATGGGAAGGCTTCCCAAATCAGGTATCGAGGCTTCCTTGGTTCTGCTGCTCACTGAGCAGCATATTTAGTTTAGCACTGTTAAATTGTGGTTCTTCGATAACCAGTTGTTTTTAACTGTAGATATTGACTGTAGTTATTAAAAAAACCAACCCAACAAATAACCACAAAAAAACCTGTCACTGTCTGTGCTACTAGAGTGCCATGAGCTGCTCCTGAGCCTGTTCATGGGTTGGTAGCTTAGCTACAATCTTGATTTCTTCCAAGAGAGATGGAACACCAATTTGATACCCCTTTCTGTTTCCATGAAACAATTTAAGATACTCTTTCTTTTGTTTCTAGTAAAGGAAGGTGAGAAAAGAGATCATATTTGAAAAAGCTTATGTAAGAAAAAGAAATAGATGGGGGGCGGGATGAGAAATTAGTGAAGAGGATAACGTGTCAGAGAAAGGACCAGGACAAATGACTATGCTTTAAAAACAAAGACGTATCCTGCAACTTGAGAATGGGAGGCCTTCCTCTGTGGTTTTAGGAGAGATTGCACACTTGGTCTTTCCCTTGTGTTCAGGGAACAGTGTACCATGCAGAACGCACATGCTGCTATTTCACTTCTGCCACTCTTACAGACACAGAGTGGTCTACTAAAAATATACTTCAGCTGCATAGCAATGTTTCTTATTTCAGTGGATTCATCCAAAGCTTCTTGTCATTGTCTTTTTATTTGTCACTTCTTCAAGACATAAAAAACATTGAAGCCTCAGGCAAGTGATAGCTCAAGTTCCAGGATGATACTTTTGAGTATTTCGTAACAGCTTCTTCAAGTCCAGGGGCTAGTAATCACCAGAAAGTCCAAGTGGTTTGATTCCTTTTGTTTCATCCTGCTCTCAGCATTCCCCACGGATTTCTATTAGGGCTCGTCCAAGTATAGATAATTCAAAATGATGCTAGGCAAAGAGACCATTCTTCCTCTTCACACTCCCCCATTGTGTCATTGAAATGGTAACATCACCATACAGGGTACAGCTTGGTCAGAGGAGTGGGAAAGTCTCCTTGGTGCTAAGAAAGTTTCCTCCAACCAGACTTCTTCCTCTTCCGGAGATGTAGGAGCAAACTCCACAAATCTGCTTTGCCCTCAGCCCCTGCCCCATCATCATTCCACCACATCAGTAAGAATTGGTCATATTAGCTGCATTAGAATCACTTATGTACAGCATTGCCAATGTCTAACCACACAGAGAGTGTTCCCAGTATTGACTGTCAACGTTGATCTGAATTACAGTTCTGGTGTTTTGAAGTATAAGACCCCAAGTGAATCCTTGCAAGTGCCCTTCTCCATCTTTTGAGCAGTTGCAATACCAGATTCCTTTTGAACCAGGTTCAAAGGTAATGTCCAGACTGGTACGGTGAAAAGGGGAAGGCTTTTCTCTCCCAAGTTGACACATGTGCTTTGCTGTACCTGTCAGTGGTTTCTTGAAGTCTTTTATTCGTATGAATTTCCCTCCTCTTAGAATAACTCTGGATGCCAGAGCCTGTTAAGGGGTGTCTGCTTGTTGTTATGTAGTGACCAGTGTTCATGCACCTTGTATGGACTTGAGACATCCTGGAAGTGTTTTTGAGAACAGTCATCCCTGTAAGACCCATCCTTTTCCTGTTCCTTCCAGGAAGAACAATAGGGTCAGTCTCTCCTCACGAACAAGGGGACTTTTCAGGAAGGTGACAGGGTCCCTGCACATTGTTCTCACTGAGAAAACCACATCCTGCCATAGTCTCATCAATGTGTTCTCTATTACTCTTCACACAGGATTTTGTTTCCTTTCAATTAGGTCAGTCTGGAGACAGTTCAGGAGTGGTTACTTAGCTGCAGGCTACACAAGACCAGCAGGAACAAAGACCTAAAGAAATTAAAACCCCTGTAACTACATGAAAACACCCTTATCAGATCATGGCAGTTGTATCACAGAAGACAAAAGCTGTACATCCCAATTGCAGGGTTGAAAGGAAATTACATGCTCTGAGGAAACAGAATTACTCTTTGGCTTCTTTTAAGTTTTTCTGGACACATTTCAGTACTTGATCTCCAGGTACAAGTTCATTTTATTTAATAAGCTAACTGTCTCTGCAGCCTTTCTGGTATCTGGAATAACTTCACTTCCAATTTGACAGAAGTTCTGATGACTTCCTGAAGGTACTCTATCGCTGTAAGGACTTTTATTCTACCCTTCATCTCTAGGAATTTTCTCCTCTGCCATAAGGAAAAAAGCTAACTTTCTCCCCACCCCCTTTGCAATCACAGAGGCCTTTTCCAATGACTGCATCTCAACACCTCTAACCTCTTAAGGCTTTTTGAGCAATTTAAGCACAAATAATGCTACAGGTCACCAGCCAAGGTGGTTTTAACAGCAGTCCTGCTCTAGAAAAGAGCTACATCTCTTTCTTACTATTTTTCCTTCAATCTTGACATCATTTGCTCTGAGAATAGTATGTGTTGCCTCCTGACAGCTATGTGAAGTCTAGACAATCGGGAGATTGTTTGAGAGCCACTTGCTTCATTATTCCACCCAAACTGTAGCAGCTTTTGGAGACACTTCTCACAAAAACCTGCTCTGTCTGAAAGCTGATGGATCATTATTGCAAGGCTACACGGAGTCAGTTCTGGACAGATTAGCGGGCAAAGAATTTTGTAGTAGTTCATACCAAAACAGATCAATGCTGATCCATCCTGGAGTTATAAAAATTGAACTTCCAGTCTTTATGGAGAAGATAAGTTTGAGTCCTGATTTCCACAGTTCAGTTTTATACAACAAGCCATCCTGTCAGCACTACCAGTGTCGTATAGTCATCAGATAGTTATGTTCTCCTTGCTTTTCCCTGGTGTGCTGCTAAAACTTTGTCATCTCATCTTTGTTGCTTGGGGCAGGCAGTTGTCTTTTTTTCCTTACTTTGAGAGTAAGTTAATAGAATGAAGAATGACAACTTTCATATCAAAATGTCCAAAGTACTTGCAGAGCCTTTTGGTTCCATCTCCACAGTTCTACTACAACTGATGGTAGATAACCATGATTTACGTTAGCAGGAAGGGAGGGTCTGCTTTCTTTCTCTTTCTGGCAATTAGTCAAGGTTTTTTTTTTCCATTGTACACCTATTTAGTTGAATTCAGTTGTTTGGTTTTCTTCCAGATGATCTGAATATGATTGGCTGTTTCAGGTTTGGTGGTGGTTGTTTTTTTAAACCAATGAATAGAAATATTCACAGAATTTTGGGGAGATTGGAGTCAGTCTAGTGTTGCCCTGTGTGTCACCAAGGTATACAGGAAGTGGTGTACATTTTGCTTAAGTGTTCATTGATAGATTTTCATCTCTAAAGCCTCTGTGGTTTCATGGCTGGACAGTCTGCTGTGTATCTCTTCTGCTTTTTTTTGGAGGGACACAATCTTGTCAAAGCAAAAACAGGGCTAGGCCTTGATGTGGACAAAGCAAATTTGGTTCGAGGATCTCCTGTAACTGTCCACAAGACTTTGATCCCTCCTCATTTTTAAAAGTTTGATACATTAACCCTCTACAGCCTGGGAACATTTCACTTCACAGCAGAGCTGCTGTATTTACTTTCTTGGAATGCAAGAATATTCTCTTTTCTAATAAGATTTTTTTTTTTAGCTAATTGTAGAAATAAGTGCACGTGTTCTGTTTTCATGCATTCCAGAACTCTCATTTATTTTCTTTTTTTTACTACACAAGCAAGATTTAGCCTGACATTTTAAAGACAGACACCTTACTTTACTTGGTGAAGGCCTTTCTAGCCTTCCTTTTTTTTGCCTATTTACCTCCAGTCAATTGGGTTTCCATGTTTTTGCACACCATGGTTTATAAAAAGGAAAGAAGACAACAAAATATTCTCCCATCTACCTTTGTCCTCTTTTAGTCTTTTCAGGTAGAGCTCTACAGTTGAGAGGTAACTGAAATGATAGTGGGAGCATTTGGCTTTATATGCCAGGCTTGGAGCTAAAGGAGTTTTAACCCATTTTATAGAAGAGGGGAAAATTAGCTGTTCTCAACTGATAGGACACTAATATACTTGCTGTTAGAATGTACATGTTAACATAATATAATCTTGAAAAAATTATGGTCAGTGGCAAGTAACTTTTTTTTTTTTTTCAAATAATGAACACTTTCAGTGTTGGGAAGATGGGGACATTATTTGAGTTGGTGACCTATGTTTGCAAGATTTTGCAGTTCATTTGAACAGGCTGTCAGTACTCAGTTTAAAACAATACTGAAATGGGGTCAGGGTCATCACTTCATATTTTAGTGGACTTCTGACTTACCTTGAGAATGTTGTGGAGTTTTTCATCTGCGATGCCACAGTATCACAGGAATTGGCCATTATATTTTCAGAACTGATAGAAACAAGACATGATGGAAATAAGACAAATTTTTTTTAAGCTCTGAAATAGAACTAGTGTTCATCTGTGTACTGATGTGAGACTTCAACTGCTTAGAGCCCTGAGAGAGTTGGGGAAAAAATATGAATTACCGAGTATGTGACAAAGCATGGAACTCTTAACACATATTTCTGGAATTGTAACAATACACAAGCCATTGTTTTGCAGCATTTTTTGCTATTCAAAATGTAATTTTCAAAGGAGCAAGATGAACTTGAAAGTAGGAATTTAATGTCATTAGTAAAAACAGAGAATCTCATGGTCTAGAGGACTCTGCTCTGGGAGGAGCTTATTTAAAAATTCATGAATAAAATAAACAAGGAGGAAACATTATTTAGTGATTGACATAGAATCATAGAATCATTTAGGTTGGAAAAGACCCTTAAGATCATCAAGTCCAACCGTTAACCTAATACTGCCAAGTCCACCACTAAACCATGTCCCTAAGCACCACATCTACAAGTCTTTTAAATACCTCCAGGGATGGTGACTCAACCACTTCCCTGGGCAGCCTGTTCCAATGCTTAACAACTCCTTCAGTGAAGAAATTTTTCCTAATATCCAGTATAAACCATTCAGATAGAAATAGGAAAGCAATCCAGCTTAGTGTACCAGAAGTAGTTTGGTCTTAAAACATCAGTAGCATGGGTTTAGAGGAAAGTGCAAGAAAGGTAAGAAATTGACCTTGACAAGGTTTAAGAATTTTAATTTATTCAGCTTATTCCCCCCCAGAAAAGATGAAAAAGAAACTGTGAATGAAAAGATGCTGATAGTGGAAGGTTTTTCAGTCTTGCAGTTAAGTCATAACAGTGAACGGAAGTTGAAATAAGCAAGCTAACTCTTGAAAGTGGCTCATGAATTGATAGGAAATTTTAAGACATCTCCACAGCCTATTAGAGATATAGTGTGTTTGGTAATTACTTGGATTTTTTTTTTTAATTAGATGCCTTTGTGGAACAATCTTTCTAGGTTTTTTTCTGGGTTGTTCGGTTGGTTGGTTGGGGTTTTTTTTATATCCTTCCTCTTTTTCCAGCCAGTGCAGCCTTTGGGCATGGACTGCCATACTGAAGTTGAGTGTGATTCACAGCCAATATATGCTTAAAGCATATAAATATACATGCTAAAGTACACTGTCCTCCTATATTGGAGAAAATACTGCCCTGCACCACAGCCACAGGGTGGCTCCTGCATTGCAGCTGGGACAAACACAAGTGGGATGCTTCATTGTGTGGTTGTGATCACATAATGGATTGTAACTAGTGTGGAGGGCAAGAAGAGCCTAATGCCTGTTATTTTTCTGATCTCATTCACCTGGGCTAGCTGACAAGGAAGATGCAGTGTTGCTGCATTGTTCCTGGAAGAATGCTGCTTAGCAGGGCTATTCTGAGTGCAGAGTGATAAACAAGTTTAACGTGACTTACTGCCAGAGTTCAAGAACACATTTCCAAAACATTAGATAACATGTTCTGAAGATGCAGTGAACTGTGTTCACATGATGCCGAGTTAAGCTATTAAGTTGTTGCTTCTGATGTTATATTTGTTCTGTGAAAGAACAGATATATGTTGCCCTAGAATGCAAGTATTGCATTTTTGGTATTTTAACAGTTGATCATGTTGTGCACTTCATAGTAGAAAGGAGTTGTGCACTTCACATGCAGAAAGGAAGGAGTCTGGGTACCAACACTCAAATCTAGTAAACTGCTTCTGCATCTTTTATAGACAGTGATCAAAAGACATTTAGAATACTGGAAATCTTGTTGTTAATAATGAAAATGGAATTTGCACACTGTTGGTCTCTGTGGTTGGAAAATTAAATATTTGAATAGATGATTTGAGTATACAAGTATGAATTCTGACACCAGAACTGCTACTTACAAATGTAACTCTTTTGCTCTAACTTCTTAATGAATATAAATTCCTATTGAATTAAATAACCTTTCTTTTATTTCTCTAGAGGGAAATCCATTTGTCCAAGCAATACCTTAACTTCTGTGCTAGATAAAGAAATGCAGAGCAGGGCTCCACCTCCTATTCCTCATTACAAACAAACAGATAAGTAAGGAATTTGTTTTTGAAACTGTATTCTTCAATTTTGTGCTGAGTTACCTGAGGAGAGTGTTCCTGAGCTTCAACTTCATACTCCCTGTTTCTTTGTTTTCCCAACCCACACACAGCTTTGGAGCTTGCAGTCTGCACTAAGATTTTCTTTCCGTAGAAGTAAACCTGAAATGAAGTGCTAAGAAAAATGTAGGATTGACTGTGTGGTATAGGAGTAGTGGTAATATAACAAACATTGTGGACTTTATTTTTTAATAAAGATTAGATAGTTGGGAAGAGATGGCTGTTTTGGAGTTTTTGTGATGTTTTTTACCTTTAACTGTTCTGTGTAAAACATAATGTCTTACTGGCATAAAATGATTTATGTGGACAGGTAGTAAATGTATTTTTCTTGTGTAGATATGACTATACAATTGGCTAAAGGTGAACTACTGTTTTTCTCAGTGAAAACTACTGAAGGTGGGCTATATAAGGCTTCTTGGTAAATAGTCTAATAGAACAGTCTTTACTTTATATGACCTGCCAGATTCAGGTACCTGTAGTCATCTCATAGTTATGAATTTTTTTAATGGATGGCTTGTTCTTTGTTAAGGTTTACCTTTCAGAACTTTTTTCCCCCAAGTTATTTCCAAATTAGCATTTGAAGTCATGTTGTGTGAAGTACCATTTTCAGAAAGGACAGCTTAATTTTGCAGTAACTATTGCAGTAGCTATTGGGTGTTTAAAGGGCTGGTGGAATACAAAGTCGGCTGTTTGGAGAAAATTTAAATTGTTTCAGAACTAAGCACCTGGAGTAAAACACGTCTAAAATGACTGCTTACGGTCTAACTCAATGTGAATTTTAAAAAGTTTGTTATTCTTTATTTCCACTTACTTCTGTGGGATTCCTGTCTTCAGTGACCCTAATGAAAGCGGCTTATGTGGCAAAATTAAATTAAAAAAATGCTTTAGCAATTTATTTTTAATTACTAGAAGTTAAATTTCTTTAGAAGTGCTTAATTCTACAAAATATTCTGGAAGATCCCATACTGTCCTAAGGAAAAAATCTTTACAGTGTTTGGATTTGGTATTACCACATACTTTTTGTTACTCTTGCTTTTAAAAGTGGGCAGATTTGATCATCAGCTTGCTTCAACAGTATTTCTTTTGTTTATTCTTTTAAAAAGGCATGTTGAACATTTAGTCTTCAGTATCGTTTTTGTAATAAATATTACCAGTAAATGGTATTTTCTGGTAAAAACCCAAAACAAATTGTATCAATTCAGCCACACATTAGTGTACATTCATTTAATAAAGTATATGTTTTTTCCAAAAATCAGTTAACAAAGGCTTTCTGGAGCATTAAGGTACTTCCATTAAAACATAATTTAGAAATGCATGCCACTTACCAGTGCAGCGTGCGTGTGCACGCTGAGACATTATGGGAGTGTGATTTCAGTTTACTTTGTTTCTTGTTTTTCATGCGGGTGAGTAACATCTAATATTCTTATAATTTCAGGAGTAGTGGGAACAGTGGTTTATCCAAACCATTAAAAGAAGAGCCCGTAATTGACTACTTTGATGTCCAGGACTGAAGTGATTGATGTAGAATTATGATACAGAAGCTTAGAGGTGAAGATACTAAGTTATTGTGTGAGGCGCTTTTTGGTTATCTGTCAAATGATCAGTTGTTCAGCATAGTCATGATTTAACATCTAAGGTTACATTCATTGTGATACTTTAAAAAGTTATGCATTTTTACAGTTTATGTAACTGCATAATACCTAACAGTAGTATAGCTTTTTAAACTTGGGTTTGGTGCAATTTTTTATCTAATGTGCTGTCAGAATGATGTAGATTTCCATTGATGCCTTTAAAGTGAGAGAACTGGTAATCAAATATATTTTTGGAGGTAGTAAGAACAATGATGAATCTCAAAGATTTATTTTGACATATCTCACACAACTTAAAATGGACCAGAAATAATCTGTGTTAAGAACACTGATGGGAATACTAAAGCGTTTTTTTCATATTTTATTAATTCACTTTTGTGTTAATGTGGTAAATTTGGGAATTTGAGTTACTCTTCTACATGGAAGGAAATATAAAATTTAATCTAAGTATGAACGTATACACTAAATGCCCATTAAAAGCACAGAATTCCTTTCCTGAAGAACCAGGATTTGGGGAAGGTGGGGAATTAAGACTTATTTTGCTTACCCAAACCCAAAAAAACCCAACTACCCCAAAAAAACCAAGACAAGAAAATTATGAATCCTTTCTTACTCAAGAGCTTGAACAAAATCAGACTTTATATATTATTTTGATGTTCTATTTGGTTTAATTTGTATTTAGATATATTAGCTTGATGGTCTTCTAGGGGGGTCTTTTTGCATGGTTTTATTGGGGGTTTATAATCTTTTTCTGTGCTGTGCAAGCTTAACGTGGATGTGTGAAGTTTGGTTTAAGTATGTTATGAATTTGGAATAATATTTGTAAAATTTATAAGACCATCTGTCTAAACTGTTTGGCAATGGAAGATCTTTGTTTTATGGAAAATGCCATAAACAAAATGGGATAATGGTTTAAACAGTGAAAGACACCGAAGTGGTCTCATAGACGGTGAATTGTTTCCAGATGATGAATTAAGGTAGGTGAGTAGCTCTCTGGGAGAGGAGATTGTAGGTCTGATCAGAAGAGGTGACACAGCTCTGAATTTGAGTAATACCTGTTCACTTGAGAAGAACGTTTTTTGAACTAGTAATTTTAGTAACTGACACTGATGCGCTCTGTTTCTTGTTCCTTGTGGCTGGCTACATGTAGCGCTAAAGGTGAGTCCCCTGTACAGCATCAGAGGCTGCTGCTAAAAGGGGCTTAGCATAATGAAGAAACAGATCTAGCAGAAGACTTGTCATCTGTTGTTGATTTTTTTTTTTTCAGCCAGCTCATTGTGGTGTAGCATGAGATGTGTTGCCAAGAAAATGGAAGGCAGTTATCCATGCTTAGATTCACTTACAGTTATCGCATAACCCTGAGCCTTAACTGTGAAGCATTCTGTGGCTACATTTCATCTTGAACAGCTTGTGAAACATGAAAGAATGAGCAGCAAACTCACAGACCATATCTGTCCCCCAAAATGTTTTGAAAATTAGAATGCATGCTGTTATTGCCTATTTTTGTAGGAGCTTATTATTTCACATTAAAAAAATATGCAGTCTTACATGTTTCTAAACATTTGAAATGCATATGCTTCAGGTAAAACAGTTACCAGAAGGATTCTCAAACCTCAAGAATGTTCAGGCTTTTAATTTGCATGTAGTGATTTAAATTGGTTTTACCTTTTTTTGTCTAATATTTTGTGAACAGAAATGAAAAATAAATTAACATAGCTTATATTGCCCTTAATTTCTTAAGCAAATTAATGTTTGTTTCTACAAGGTGTACTGCTTTGCTAAGTTCAGCTGAAGAAGTAAGTTGTTCGGCATCTTTCCAGGAATGTATTTCTTCAGTCCCTTCATTGTGAGGAGTGTATCTATTCCAGTGCTTGCTCAAGTGCCAGCTCAGTGTGGCCAGACAAAGGCTAATTCTGGTTTTGAAACTCAGAGCTATGTTAATATAGCACTGTTTTCAAGCTAGTAACACCTGTTAGGGAGAATGTACACAGTTATACTGCAAAGGTAGGTTCTGGACAGGAGCAGGCACACACATCCGGTGAGCTGAGAGTATAAAGTTAGATGCACGTACACTGGAGCACACGCAGTTGGTATACCATAGGTAGACCTAACATTACAGAAAACCAAAGTGATTTAGTTGATAATAAATAGAATAAAGCTGAAGCCTATTAACTTTTCACAGAGTTTCACATGAATATAGCTAAAACTTCACATTTGCACCTCTGATTTGAAATTTAAAACTTAAAAGGTTTTGCTAGCATTATATTTAGCTCTGCTCTTCGAAATTTTTATCAGATTATGGCTTTAACATAAAAATGTGAACCTTGGTGAGATGCACTTCAGCAGTCAAGTATTCTGCCACTGCTTTTAATAAGAAAACCCAGGTAATCTTCAGCTTCTGAAGTTGAGACTAAGAATTATTACTGAATCTGTTCATACTGAGAAGTCATAATTCTCATCACTAAACCCCTTAACTACATGAATGTTAAAATATTTTTATAGATCTGTATCTTACACATCTCTCAGTCGTGGCTGTTGGAGCATATCTGTAGCTATGAAGCAAGTCACATGTACAGAAACATTTATTTTGAAATGCATTTTAATAACTTGGTTAAAAACATGATACCATACACTTACCCAGGAAAGTAATACCAAAAAGAAAGTATTGATGTCTTTCTTCCCAGAACATAGTTACATAGCCTTAAGAAGGAACTCAGCAAAGTTTAACAGTGGTGCTCTCCTCTCTGTTCTGGTTTGCTTTTGCTGCAATGTATCTGTGACTTTCATATGGAATAGTACTAAAGGCTGTAGTTTTGATATCTGTGATAATTCACCTTCATATTGCACGTGTGCCTCATGGAAATATTTTTCAAATAGCTATTTTGTAAATCTGAGCTGGCCTTTACACCTTTTATCTAATAGAAAAATGAGTGGATAAAAGAAATCTCTGCATCAGTGAAGTCAGTGGCAAAAATCCTATTGACATCACTGGAACCAAGACTTAAGCTTCAATATACTAATCATTTTCCACAGCCCTAAGAATAATATGAAAAAAGTACTCTGCAATAAGCATCTTTTGAAATAAATTATGTGATGTCAGTTGGAATTCATGCAACTTCATGAAGTGCTTTTCAAGTTGTGTATGAAATAGGCAGATACTTTGGCATTTGGGCTGTGCTATTACTTATCTATATTAAAGTTTAAAGTGCTCTGAATATTCAGTGCTTGGGTTTAACCTAAAATTGTGTAAGATGCGTAAGTAGACTTCAATACCACTGTCTCTGTGGCAGTTTTGTACAGTTTCTGCCGCATAATGAGCAAAGTAAAATTGTTCTAAAACACTTAAGTTATTTGTTGAAAGTTTTATATTTGACTTGATTTTTTTTCAAGTTACTGGTATAAAATTACTTCCTTTATAAACCTGAAATAAATCTAAGTTGAAAGTTCAGTGCTTTGGAATTGTTTGCAAGCTTTGTCTTGGTATTCCAAAGTTGGAAGACTGAGATATCACAGAGGAAAAAATAAAGATTTAAATGGCAGTTTGGGGAGTCCTTTTCCTCAAATTTTGAAATATGAGGTGTGATTTCCTGCATGTGAAGTGATTTTAAATGAATGCTGTAAGGAGAATGAAGCAAGTAAAGAGGGACTCCCCAGGAAATGGAGAGTAAGGATTATCTGCTGCCTTCTTGGGATTCAGAAGAAGGGAGAGATTATTATCTGAATAGAAATGTACATTTTGGTTATCTGAAAAAACCTTTACTATGTCAGCCTAAATGCTACTTGGCAATAAAATGTATGATTCTAACTCATTGTCCCTTCATTGTTGTTTGTCCACCGTTCAGTTGTGATGGTGGCTGTAAAGAAGAGTGATATGGGGCGGGGGGAGAAGTGAGGACTAATGTCACTTAAAAGTCCCTATGGGCATTAGATTTAACAAGTACTGGATGACAGATGTTATGGGAGCAGGGTGGTGAAAACTTTGCCAACACAGTTCAGTAGATGGCAGGGAGACTCAAAAAGCAAACAGTCTGAAAATCAGAAGTTTGAAATTATTTGAACTGCTCCCTCCTCAAACTTTAATAATACCAAGTAATGCATCTCCAATGGCAAAAGCTACAGAAATGAAGAATAGCAGCAAAAAAGTTTCAGTGGCCTGACCTGATACTTCGGATGGAGTGCAAGATGGCTCAAAGAAATTCAAGAAATGATCTGAGCTTGAAGAGTTCTTGAAAGACAGCTGAAAACCTTTTGTCTTACTACCTCAACTGCCAGTAAGTTTGGACTTTCTTTTCAGGATATTTTGGAGGATGAAGATGGCATGTTGCAGGTATATAAGCATTGCAAAACAGATCTTAATTGGAAGTCTCTGCCTGAAAAAAATACTTACACTTCAGTTCAGGACTGTCGTTGACTAGAAGGTGACCAAACATCATTGTTATCAGTGTGTGCAAATGGCAGCAGAAGAGACAAATTTTGCTTTCCGTTCACTTATCTTGTCTATGTTTGGAAATAAGTCATTCAAGTCATGACATGGTCACAACAGTCCCTTATAGGTTAAAAAAAAAAATGCTTAGATAGATACTACTGTTCAAATAATGTTGAGTTTTGAGTATTTCAGACTTCGTAGATGCTGAAGTCCCAGCAGAAGCCTTGCTACTTAACAAATGCTGTTCTCATCCTTTACGAAGATGCTGAATTCTTCAAGATGGTTGATGTGCGAATTTTTATGTCTATACACTTGTTATTTAACTGTGAACCAGTTAATGCCAGAGACCTTAGAAAGGGTGTCTTTACAAAGGCTGTATTTTGGATGCTCTTGAGCTATAGATCAGGTTTCTTAGTCTTGGTCATCTCTGGATTTTTGGAGGAAGTAGCGCAGCTCTTGAGCAGAGGGAAGGAGGCCACGTTGCTGCTACCCCGGGAGAAGCCAGGTCCCAGAAGGATCCTGGGAATCTGTCCTGGTTTCGGCAGGGATAGAGTTAATTTCCTTCCTAGTAGCTGGTACAGTGTTTTGGATTTAGGATGAGAACAAAGTTGATAAGGCACCGATGTTTTAGTTGTTGCTGGGTAGTGCTTACACTAGCCAAGGACTTTTCAGCTTCCCATGCTCTACCGACTGAGAAGGCTGGAGGTGCACAAGAAGCTGGGAGGGGGCACAGCCAAACTGGCCAAAGAAACATTCCATACCATGTGACGTCATGCTCAGTACCTAAACTGGGGAAAGCTGGCCGGGGGGGCCGCTGCTCGGGGACTGGCTGGGCATCGGTCGGCGGGTGGTGAGCAATTGTACTGTGCATCACTTGCTTTGTGTATTATTATTATTATTACATTATTATTTTATTTCAATTATTAAACTGTTTTTCTCTCAACCCACCAGTTTTTCTCACTTGTGCTCTTCCAATTCTCTCCCCCATCCCACTGGGGGGGGGGGGAGGGCGGGGAGGGGGTGAGGGGCGGGGTGGTGCTCAGTTGCTGACTGAGGTTAAACCATGACAGAATCCTTTGGTGTTAATAGAACCCTGTTGCAGGTAGCAACATGTGGATCCTTTCAGCTTCCAGCCAAAGCATAGGTGAGCGTGCCTTTATGTTCAGTGGGTGAAATCTGCTGCTGAATATGCTTTGCTCCCTTCTAGAGTATGGGCTGTGGTATGGGTGAGGTGCCCTTCTACAGTCCAGGCTTATGTCTTGCTCTGCCACCCCATGAGCTACTTTTTCCAGCACCGTATATTTGTTTTGATGTCAGGGTGTCCAATTTTATACTTCTATAGAAAATGCAGGTCTTTCACAATAGAAAATGGGTTTTGCCACTGAAAGAATCTTTTTCAGAGCACAGACCAAGGCATACACCTTTCTGGTGTTTCAGGCAATCCTCTGTAAATTGGTTTAGGCTCCATCATTGTACGACCTACTGTTGGCTGCTCTGGAGCTCTTTTCAGTGAGAGGAAGGAGGGGCAAAATGTGTCTGTTGTGTGGAGATCTGCTTTGGTTGCTGCTCACAACTTTACTTTCTGTGAAATCATGTCCAGGAACTGCCACCTAGTAAATGACTCAGCTTTCTACTGGATCTAATGTGTGCCTATTCCAATGTCCAGTCTTCTTGCTACATCCACATTTATTCCCTTAAAGTGTAGAAAATTTATTCTAGTCAGAGGACTAGAGGGATTCATTTGTAAGGAGCTGTAACAAACTAAACGAAAAATCATGATCACTGTAAAGGAAAACTCATCTTAATAGAATGCTTTTTATATAGTAGGTAGGAAGCAAAGGCCTGTCTCTTTCAAAATTGTGTATGTAGGGTAAGCTTACATGTTTTACTAGGGAGCATTTTTTATAAATCTCAGTTCTAGGAAATAAGAGGCTGTGGTGAAAACTGAGTAGTGAGATACATTGGATAGTTGCCTATCAAACAATGCAGTCAGGAAGGTACATTCTGTCCATTCGAGGCACCTAGAGAGATTATCTTTTTTTAACAAGCTATTTAAGGAATTTCAGAATTTACTGCTTACCCAGTAAGTTCGATACCTCTTAATAGATACTAATAAATGCTGTTTCAGGAAGCATTGATTAAAATCTTCAGTCAGTGCAGTAACTCCTGGGATAAGTACTGATTTAGGTTGGTGTTTAAATTCAGTATGTTGGCATGAAATAAACAGGTGCCAAAGTTTCTAATTAAGTATGTGTCTGTGTGACTGCTTAGGAAGGACAATTCAGCAGCTTCAATCAAAGGCTTATGCAATTCTAATTATATTCTGTTGAAGTAGGCAGTGATTAAACAGATACGGGATTGCTGCCACTGTAATATCAATGAAATAACTAATTAATGAATTTTTATTTAAGGTGTATTTCTGGTAACTTTATTAGACATTTAAGGAATGCTACATCTTACCTGTTAGCTGACATCTAAGTACTTACTAAGTAATGTAAGTAATGTATTTACTAAGAAGTAGCTGATAAAGCCCCATATGAAATCAATGAAATTTTTATCCCATGGTTCTCCCATTTTTTCCAGTCCTGACTATGAGAAATTATTTTAGTCTTCAGCCTAAATGTACACAAAGCCATGCACCTGGAATGGAATAACCCCATGCAACTGTACAGGCTGGAGCCCATTGTCTAGACAGCAGCTTTGTGTAATAAGACCTGGGGGGCAGGGGCTCCTGGGGGGCAGTAAGTTGAATGTGAGTTAGCAGTACACCCTTGTGGCAAAGGCAGCCAGCTGTGTACTGTGCTGTATTAGTAAGCACGAAGACAGCAGGTCGAGGGAAGTGATTACTCCCCTCTATTCAGCACTTGTGAGATGACTTCTGTACTACTGGGTCCAGCTCTGGGCTCCCCAGTAAAAGAAAGACCTGACTGGAGTGAGTCAGAGGACCGCCAAGTTGGTCACGAGGCAGGAGTACATGACATACAGGGAGAGGTTGAAGGTACTGGATTTGTTCAGCCTCAAAGAGAGAAGACTAAGAAGAGGTCTTACTGCTGTCCACAACTACCTAATGGGAGGGTATAGAGAAGGCAGAGCCAGAGTGCACTGTAGAAGGATGAGAGGAAATAGACACAAGTTGAAACATGAGAAATTATGACTTGATATGTGCAAAATAACTTTTACCATGAGGGTGGCAAAATACAGCATGAGTTTGCTCAGAAATCTTACAGAACCTTCTTCCCTGAAGTCATTAAAAACTCAACTAGATGAGGTCATGTCCTGGTTTCGGCAGGGATAGAGTTAATTTTCTTCCTAGTAGCTGGTACAGTGCTGTGTTTTGGATTTAGGATGAGAACAAAGTTGATAATGCACCAATGTTTTAGTTGTTGCTGGGTAGTGCTTACACTAGCCAAGGACTTTTCAGCTTCCCATGCTCTAC